AACTGCCAAAAATTGAACTGTATGGAATTCCAACAACCAAGGATTTATAGAAGAAAATATTCATCCAGATGTGCAGAAGGGGTGGAGCTGGAGAGCAGGGAGGACTAGCTGTGGCAGAGGCTAGAATTCACATGTGGCAGATAAAAACCAGGAAGGACACCTGGTAAGTGAGCTATCCCAGCCTCTGGCCAGACTGTGCAGCCCAGGGTTCCAGTGCCAGGAAAATAAAGCCTCATAACTTCTAGCTGTAAAAACCAGTGGGGGCTGGGGTGGCAGAAGAAACTGCTGGCCTCTCAGGAGAGCCCATTTAAAGGACCCTCACTGTCCTAGAATGTACACAAACCTACCCATGCTGGGATTCAGCACCAGGGAAGCAGCTAGAAGGGTACCAGTCTCATTTGGAAAGTGGGGAAGTGACTAGAAACAGGGCGAGAGCTGGGCAAACAGCTTTGTCCCCTCCCCGACCTCTCCCCTACATACAGCACCATAAAGTGATGAAGCAGACTGCCTCGCCCTGCTGACTACTTAAGGCTCCGCCCCTTACAACACAACAGGTGTGTCAACATGGGGAGTCAAAGCAGCTCTACATAATACACAAAACAAACACAGGGAGGCTGCCAAATTGAGGAGACAAAGAAATATGGCCCAAATGAAAGACTAGTTCAAAACTACAGAAAAAGAGCTAATGGAAATGGAGATAGCCAACCTATCAGATGCAGAGTTCAAAATGTTGGTGATAAGGATGCTCAGAGAACTCATTGAGTATGGCAAATGCATAAGGGAAGAAATAAGGGTTACACTAAATGAAATAAATAAAAATCCACAGGAAAACAACAGTGAAGGGAAGGAAGCCAGGGTTAAATCAACGATTTAGAACATAAGGAAGAAATAAACCGTCAACCAGTACAGAATGAAGAAACAAGAATTCAAAACAAAAAAAAGAGAGAGAGAGAGAGAATAAGACAACTATGGGACATCTCTAAACGTGCCAACATCTGAATCATAGGGATGCTAGAAGGGGAAGAGGAGGAGCAAGAAACTGAAAACTTATATGAAAAAATAATGAAAGAAAACTTCCCTAATTTGGTGAAGGAAATAGACATACAAGTAAGCCCAGGAAGCAAAGAGTCCCAAAAAAGCTCGATCCAAAGAGGGTCACACCAAGACATATCATAATTAAAATGCCAAAGGTTAAAGATAAAGAATATTAAAAGGAGCAAGAGAAAAGAAGAGTTACCTACAAAGGAGTTCCCATAAGACTATCAGCTGATTTTTCAAAAGAAACTCTGCAGGCTAGAAGGGACTGGCAAGAAGTATTCAAAGAGATGAAAAGCAAGGACCTACAACCAAGATTACTCTATCCAGCAAAGCTACCATTTAGAATTGAAGGGCAGATAAAGTGTTTCCCAGACAAGGTAAAGCTAAAGGAGTTCATCATTGCCAAGCCCTTATTATATGAAATGTTAAAGGGACTTATTTAAGAAAAAGAAGATGATCAAAACTATGAACAGAAAATGACAACAAACTCAACTATCAACAACTGAACCTAAAAAAACAAAAACAAAAAGACTAAGCAAACAACTAGAACAGGAATAGAATAATTGAAATGGAGATCACATGGAGAATGAGCAGCAGGCAGGCGGAAAGAGGAGAATGGGGAAAAAGGTACAGGGATTAAGAACCATAATTGGTAGGTACAAAATAGACAGGAGGATGTTAAGAATAGTACAGGAAATGGAGGAGCCAAAGAACTTATATGTACAACCCATGGACATTAGCTAAGAGTGGGGACTGCTGGAGGGAAGGGGGGTACCAGGCAAAAGGGGCAAAGGGGAAAAAAACTGGGACAACTGTAATAGCATAATCAATAAAATATACTTAAAAAAAAGCTATATGATATACTGTCCAAGTCATATGATCTGAATTAAATTACCAGGTTTTTTTTATATATACTACAGGGTTTATGGTTAATAAGATTATAATTAGTATATATATATGAAGTACAAAGCATGTGCTTGTCAAATGGTAATTAATACTTTTTAATATAACCACCATTGTTACTAACCATTTATTGTATCTAGTATTTGTTTACAAATTATCCCACTTGGATCTTCTATACCTAACAATGTGAAGGAAAAGATAACCTGACAATCTGCCTCCTACGTAACACCTTGAAAATCTTGATAAAGTTTTAACAAATACTTTATGTTATATAACAAAACATAGAGTTGAGATTTTAAGAAAGAAAAAGAAATCTCCAGGGGTCCAAAATTTGGAGGAAACTAAAACTCAGGAACACATAGTGAGCTGATGTTGGCCTGCTCTGGGAAGGTTTTTGGTGTGGGTAATCAAAGGGCTTGATTTTTAAGTCATGGAAGTGGGAGATGAGGTTTTGGGCCTTGGAGAAGCCATAAGCTGGAACTCAAATTCTCCTGTATAAAGCTAGGACCTTAGAGGAAATCATATTGTCAGTTAAAAAAAAATAAATACACTGACTCAAAAGTACAAAGAGACAACAGGAAGCTTGGATTAGAAAAGACAGTTTCCCTAAGAATTTGAACCTTGGTCTGTATGAAGACAATTTATTCCAGTTGTGTGGAGTTTATACTACCTGTGTGGTCCTAGAATCTCCAGCAGAGAAATTAACTTAAAACGTAGTTCCAGGCTGAACAGCCCTGGCTGGTGTGGCTCAGTGGACTGAGTGCCAGCCTGCAAACCAAAGGGTGGCCAGTTAAATTCCCAGTCAGGGCACATGCCTGGGTTGTGGGCCAGGTCTCCAGTAAGGGGGCACACGAGAGGCAACCACACATTGATATTTCTCTTCCTCTTTCCTTCTCTTTCTCTCAAAAAGTAAAATCTTAAAAAGAAAATTGTTCCTGGCTGATAATATTTCTTGGTGATTCGTCAAAACAAAGGCAATCCTTCCTCTCTCCTTCTGGAGAGTACTAATTACCTCATTTAACTCTCACCACTATTCTATGAAATATATAATAAATTTAGGGAGGTTTAGCAACTTGTCCAAAGTCACTTAACTATTATTATCTGGCAGATCTGGGATTTGAACCTGGTTGTTGTTCATTCAATTGAAACTATTTACCAAGTTCTACTATGTGCCATGCAGAGACAAGGTGTGTTCCCTTTCCAATATACCACACTGCCTAATCTTCTTTGTGCAAATTAATAAATAAATGTAACTATTTTCTTCTCAAGTTTAGCAATTCAGTAAAAATGAAGGCAGTCAGGAAACCCACAGGATTACCCTGTGCTCTGTCTGCCAAAGCATCTCAGTCCTCTCTGGCCAAGGAACTTAGGTTGCTGGAACACTCTGAACTGGGAAGAACAGCAACAGGCTCTCTGAGCTAGAGAGGCATAGGGTTCTGCCCAATGGGTCCTGGTTACTGGGATTAATTTTATTAGAATACACATACAGAATTTCAAAGAAAAAATATTTACCATTAAGGCAAAATTGGGATAATAAAGCTATTGTGATAAACACCAATATATGGAGAGCGGGATGACAGTTCTGGGGGAAGTTAAGGGGTGAGGAATTGAGCAAAAAGGAAAAGGACTCATGGACATGGACAACAGTGTGGTGACTGCTGGGGGGAGGGAGTATAAGAGGACTAAACGGTAATGGGAAAAAATACAATAAAGATTAAGTAAAAAAAGAAATGGAAAGTTAGTGATGACAGCTATCGTCCCTATCAGGCTAAACCTCCAATATATTTCTGAATGATAGTCAGGAGCACTGAGAAAATCTTAACTTACAAATCAGTAGCTGTAAATGGTAGCAGTTTTTAAAAATTAATACATATTTGTACAAGCTTAAGTTAACACACTGATCATCTTATATATAGGTGTGCTTTATAAAAATAGTTCTAAATATTTTTTTTAAATCAAATAATATATTTGAGGAATTTCTGAAGCACCCTCTAGTGTTCTTATAGAACAAAGTTTGGAACAACCCAGGAGTTCCCTGAGATCTCTACCACTAAGACCATTATTAACCTACTTTTTGAGCTTCATCTTTCACTTTTCCCCATTTCTAATTTTTACTCCAGCTAATCTCAAGTATTGACTGTGCCCTGACCATACTTTCTTACTTCCATGTGTTTGTTCATACTCTCACCTTTACCTTTGATTTAAATTCATTACCTTTTTGAACACTCATGATATGCTAACACCAAGCTAGCAACTTACATACATTTTCTCATTCACTTCCACACATCCTACCCATTTTATTTATTTGAAAATAATAACTATTATTAAGCATGTACTTTATTACATGCTCAGATATTATATGCTGAGTGCCTTCTACTAACTCATTTAATCCTTACAGCAGCCCTATGAAATAGAGCAATACTATTGCTCCCATTTTATAGTGAGAACACTGAGACTCCAGAAAATTAAGAAACTTGCCCAAGGACAAGTAAGGAAGAGGCCGCTTCCTAGAAAAGTGCTTTCTGTGCTCCAAGTTGAATTCTTAAAGAATAAGGTGAAGCTATAAAGGGACAATGGCATTTCAGACAGAGGGACAACATGCACAAAGGCAGAGAAGTAGGAAACAGTTTGGTATGCAGTTCAGGGGAAAAAAAAAATCAGCCTTCACAATCAGCAGATCTGGGTTAAAAAATCTATTTTTGTTTTGTATTGTAGCCTCTTACTGTGACTATGATTTTCTCATCTGCAACACGGTGATGATAAGGTGTACCTTGTAGAACTGCTTTAAGATTAAAGCACAGGGCCAGGCCCATGGTAGGTACTCAGGAAATAAGTATTGTCTCCCTTCCTTTCCCCTAGTTGATTAGCCAATAATCCTTACTCTCAATAAATGTCGGCTCCATTTTCACTGGATCCCACACATGTCTCTCCCTTCTACAAGTCTGCAAGCTTTACCAAAGCTTTTGGAGGCACAGTATATCAAAAGTCATCCAGCAGCTTACCTGGTAATGACCTTAACCACCCTTTCTCAAAACGAGAACCATTCTCATACAACTCACCTGTGTAAGCCATGTTTTTAGGGTTGCCATAAGGAGCCCCAGGCTGCATGGGGCTATAAACAGGGTTCATTGTGGAAGACCGAGGATCCTACAGAGAAACAGAGAAAACAGGATAGATTATTAATTGCTTGTTCTTCCTAACACCAGCTTCCTCCCTATAATCTTCAGTTTATACTCATAGAGATGCAAATGGTAGAGCAAAAAAAGGACTAAACAAAAAGCCATTTGTTTGCACTTGGCCCTATGCTAGAGACTTTTTCTATCATACAGTTGAAAATGTGGGAAAGAAGAGAAGTGATAAAACTTGCTTAACATCAATCCGGGCCTTTGTTCAGTACTAGACCCACTATCCCAGATGACTCTGTCACTCGCATACTGTGTGACATGGCCAAGTCACTTCCCCTCTGTGGACTTCAATGTCCTGATGTAAAATCAATTAGTTTGGACTCTCCAAGGTCCTTTCTAATTCTAAGGCCGCTAGTCCAGGAGCTGGGAAAGGATACACTTCTGTTCACCAGGGGAGCCAGAGTGCCTGATGATGAGCACATAGACTTCCAAAAGGAAGAGTAGCAAATGTCTCCCACCCTCTGTACCTGCAGAGGACAAGCTACCAGTTACTAACAGCTCTGAAAGAAGGGAGGGGGAGATTTATTGCCATCGCTCATTTTAATGTAAACAAGGGAACACAGCCAAGGCCTGCAGGATCAAAGCCAGCATGATCCTAATTCCAAAACTAGGTAAAGACACAACAAAGAAAAAAAAACAAAACTACAAGCCAGTATCTCTGATGAACGCAGATGCTAAAATCCTCAACAAAATACTGGCAACCCAGACTCAGAAATACATTGAAAAGATCACATACTATGATCAAGCGGGATTCATCCCAGGGATGCAAGGATGGTACAATACTCACAAATCAATAAACATAATATACTGCATAAATAAAATGAAGGACAGAAATCACATGATCATATCTATAGATGCTGGAAAATCACTTGATAAAATCCAACACCCATTTATGATAAAAACACTCAGCAAAGTGGGAATAGAAGGAGCATAGTTCAACATAATGAAAAGCCATAAACAAGAAACCTACAGCCAATACTATACTTACAGGCCAAAAACTAAAAACTTTCCCTTTAAGGTCAGGAACAAGACAAGGGTGTCCGCTTTCACCACTCTTATTTGACATAGTACAGGAAGTTATAGCCAAATGATCAGACAAGAAAAAGAAATAAAAGGCATCCAAACTAGAAAGGAGGAAGTAAAACTGTCATTATTTACAGCTGACATGAATAGTGTGCATAGAATATCCTACAGTCTCCACCAAAAAAACTACGTGACCTAATAGGTAAATTTGGCAATACAGCTGGATACAAAGCCAATATTCAGAAATTGATGGTATTTTTGTACACCAACAATGAACTATCAGAAAAAGAAACTAGGATAAAAAGTCCCATTTACTACAGCAACAAGAAAAATGAAGTACCTAGGAATAAATTTAACCAAGGAGGTAAAAGACCTATACTTGGAAAACTATAAAACACTGAAGAAGAAAAAAATAAAGGAAAATACAAATAAATGGAAGCATATACCGGGTTCATGGATTAGAAGAATCAACATCAATAAAATGTCCATACTACCCAAAGCAATCTATAGATTCAATGCAATTGCTATTAAAATACCAATAGCATGTTTCACTGATCTAGTACAAATATTTCCAAAATTTATATGGAACCAGACTGACCCCAAATAGCCTCAGCAATCTTGAGAAAGAAGAACAAAGTAGGAGGAATCACAATACCCAATATCAAACTATACTACAAGGCCACCGTAATCAAAATAGTCTGGTACTAGCATAAGAACAGACACATAGATCACTGGAACAGAATAGAGAACCCAAAAATAAACCCAAGACTCGATGGTCAATTAATATTTGACAAAAGGGGCATGAACATACACCTGAGTAAAGACAGCCTCTTCAATAAATGGTGTTGGCAGAAGTGGACAGGTACATGCAAAAAAATGAAACTAGACCACTAACTTACACAATACACAAGGATAAACTCAAAATAGATAAGACTTAAATATTTTAAGTTGTGACACCATAAAAGTGCTAGAGGGAAACATAGACAGGAAAATTTCTGATATCTCTTAATGGTAAGGGAAATAGAAAAAAAACGAATGGGACTACATCAAATTAAAAAGCTTTTGCACGGCTAAGGAAAAATATCATCAAAGTGAAAAGAAAACCCACTGTATGGGAGAATATATTTCCCAATGATACATTGGAAAGGGGTTTGATCTCCAAAATATATAAAGAACTCATACGACTGAACACCAGGAAGACAGACAATCCAGTTAAGAAATGGGCAAACAATCTGAATAGACATTTCTCCAAGGAGGATATACACATGGCCCATAGAAATATGAAAACATGCTCAACATCACAAGTCATCAGAGAGATGCAAATTAAAACCACAATGAGATATCATCTCACACCTGTCAGAATGGGCATGATTAACAAACCAAAACCAACAAATGCTGGCAAGGATGTGGAGAAGGGGGAACCCTAGCACACTGTTGGTGGGAATGCAGACTGGTGCAGCTGCTATGGAAAACAGTATGCAATTTCCTCAAAAAACTAAAAATGGAACTGCTTTTTGATGCAGCAATTCCGCTGCTGGGACTATATCCTAAGAATCCAAAATCACCAATTCAAAAGAACTAACGCACCCCTATGTTCATAGCGGGGCTATTTACAATAGCCAAGTACTGGAAACAGTCTAAATGAACATCAGTAAATGAGTGGATCAAAAAACTGTAGTACATTTATACAATAACATACCATGCAGCAGAAAGAACGAAGGACCCCTTTTACCTTTTGCAATAGCATGGATAGAACTGGAGAATATTAAGTGAAATAAATCAATTGGTGAAAGGCAAATACCACATGAGCTCACCTATAAGAGGACTCTAATAAACAATAAACTAATGAACATAACAGAACCACAGGCATGGAAACATGGAAGACTGAAAGTGACCAGAGGGGAGGGGAGAGATGGATAATGGTAAAGAAGGGGAAGGGAATAGACAAAGAACATGTATGAATGATCCACAGACATGGACAACAGCGTGGAAATTAACTCTGGGAATGGTGGGTGGGACGGGTGGAGGAGGGCAAAGGGGGAAAACTAGGACAACTGTAATAGAATAACAATAAAAAAAAGATTTACAAAAACAAGTATCACCTGCACAAGTGCTCTGTTAATTATCGTAATAGAGCACATTCTCCATTCTGATTAACAGAAAATCTGTCATTAAGCTCTATTAGCCACCCCATTTGTCCCATCTTATTTAGGGAACCATCTTTGACACACAGGCCAACACATGTTTGAAAACATGTCTCCAAACATAGGCACATTATTTACACTTCATAAAAATCAAACAATTCCCTCCTAACTAGGTTCACATGATAGATGGGCAATTTTTTAGGTCATTAACTTTTCCTGTAGCACCTCAGAACAGGAAACAGTCAAACGCTGAAGACAAGCAGTCAGCAGTTGGCTTGATGACAACTGCTCTGCAATTAATTAGTCTGCCCAGGGTTCTGTAATGAGAGGTGGAGAAAAGATGGGTTCCCAAGGAGAGGAAGCTGAGGGGGTTAAACAGGCAAACAAGAAAATGTCACTGGCCAATTTCAGAGGACAGAACTTCCTGAAATGTGCTCAGTGTGCAGCTCTGGCCAACCACCCCAGGGCAACAGGCTACATTAAACTACCACAAGGTGACAAACTGAAACTAGAGCAATCTGAGGAGGAAAGTTGCAGGAGATACATATTTCAGCACAACTTAAGGAAACAATATTCTTACAGCCAGAGTTATCCAAAAATACAGACAAGTGACACTCTCTCTCTAAATATAAGCACTCTCTTGACAGGGTACTGAGAGAATTAACAGAGATTACAAATGTTAAAATACAAAGCGACATACATATGTAACTGATGGTGGCAGTGATGTGACAACACAGAAGACTTCCTGCACGCTTTCCCTGCCTTAAATCTCGTCTGTCCAACCGTTTCTCTGCTAACTAAACCAAGGTAAGGAAGGCTAAAATAGCTAAGCAGCACATCTGGCCCTGTAAACATCTGGGCACTCTCCTACTGAGAAGGTTTTCTATTTTGTTGATTGGGCAAAGTATGAAATTGCTCTTCATCACCAAAGAAACTCATCAACTTTGAAACTGGTCTCCTGCTGCTCCAAAACGAGTGCCACAGTGTCAGAAGAGATCAGCCCCGGGCAGCAGTCCACAACAGCATCCATTTCAATCCCAGCTAATAGCCGACAGAAATGAGGTCCCCCAGGGGCTCAAAATTTGGAATAAAAATGACAACCACTTTCGAGGAGCTGCTCACAGGTAAACAGGGTTCCTGGCTTTCAAGGTAAGGTCAGTCTTTTAAAACAGAATCCACACACTACTAACAGTTCCTGGGGCCAGCTAAAAATGAGCAGGAAGGTATAACAAGCCCTATGATCAGGGAGATTTAGGTTCAAATCCTGGGAACTGTCACCTACCAAATGGGGGCCACGGGCAAGTCCACTGATCTTTGTAAGCCTTGGTTTCCTCTAGCCTCAAAATAGAAAAGAATAACACATACTTTGTAGAGTTGTTGTAAAGTATTTTTTTAAAGAGGTTTATTTCCTTTGCGTATAGTAAAACCCCATTTGGGTATACAGTTCTGTAAGCCTTGAAAAATGTATACAGTTGTAAAAATGCTACAATTAAGATACAAAGTATTTTCATTGCTCCCATGCGTTGTCTCCATCTGTGTAGTCAGTACTCTCGCTCTCCAGACTCCCAGCCCATAGAAACAACTAAGTCAAGTCGCGAAAAGGCAAGTGAATGGTCCGAGGTCACAAAGCAAGTAAGGGACAGGTTCAAGACTAGCACCCCAAATGGATCAAAGTCCTAAATGAGAGAGTTAAAAAGATAAACACTCTTAGAAGAGAAGAGAAAATAAAGGTATAAACCTTCATGACCTTGGATTTGTAAATGGTTTCTTAGATATTAGATATGACAGCAATAGC